TCTTCCGTAGATTTATCGCACAAAAGGAAGCGTAGAAGTAAGAAACAGATACGTGACGAAAGATATCTCGACGAATTTTCCACGTGTCTCGGTTTCTCCACTTGGAATCGAAGATATTCGATCGGTGTACCCGAAAACTAATCGGCCACGCGGACGAAATCGATGGTTTTAAGGTCGCGTGATGACACGTCCACGGGAAACGAAAGATCGTTACGTAGAAGGTTGAGTAACGCGTTTCGTATACATACGAAAGTGTTCCTTCTCTCGTCACTCTCATTATCAGGTGTGTGTTTGTGCGCGTTCGAAGCCGGTGTGGTATTAGGCAATCGGGCGTAGAGTCGAACGTTAACATTGGCCCAAATATTGGCCAGTGGCCCCGGTCTGCCGATAGTCAGCCTCCTTTTTCTCACTTTGAATCTGCTAACGTACCGAAACCGATGTCGTTGACTGACACTGGCCCACTATTCGTCCGTTAACACCGGGCCAATCGAGCCTGTTGGTCGCGACCTGCCGCTTTCGGGAAGGTAAAAAGTGAGAGTACAACAGCAAGTATACCTCGAGTCTCTCTCTCTCTCTCCCGAGTGTTGCGAATTCTCTCTGCTTCCACGTTTGTACTCGTGATTTTGGTATTCCTCGCGACGGTGGAAAGAAGAACGTTTCTCGTAGTGATACGGAAACAAACGAGGCCGAACGTCATAGTTCTTCGACCGTTTCAACTTTCTCCTGAACAGTGCACGGAGCAGTGGATCGAACGTTGTTGCTTCCTAAATGGAAGAGAAAAATTTTCGGTCGTGAAAATATCGTGGAAGAACGAAATTGTGTGCTTGGATTATCAAACGAGAAGTAATAGGTTTTTTTTTTGTAATCTAATCTCGAATCTAGATCGTGCGTCCTCGATCTAGAGGGAATGTTTGTCACCTGGCCAGGTGAAAAGCGAGAGTGATCGGGAACGCGGTTGTTTTACGCAAAAGCGTGCGGTTTCTGGCTCCGTGTCTTCGGGAAGCCTTACGCGAGCTTACTCCGGTGTCAGAAAGCAGGGTAGAAAAAGCGCGAGAGAGGATTTTTTTTAACCTCGTTAAATTGACTACGTTCTCGCGAAGGCACTTATATCTGGTTCGCTAATGGGGCAACGTCCCACGCGTGAGAGCGCGCGGGGACGAGAGGAACGCGAGAGAAAGAGGAACGGAAGTGGGGGATATACCGTCGGAGTTCTTTGAGGTGCATTTATTTATATATTAGAATCCATTACTTCTTTTCCAATGCGGGGAGAGACGCGTTACAACTCGCGTCTCGTCCGTGTCGGAACAAATCGAAGAAGGACACGAGGAAGAAGAGGAGAAGAAGGAGGAGGCGGTACCCTCTGCGGAGGTTACCGAATTTATGACTCGAAAGGTTTTTCAGGAGGGAGAAATGAGAGAGAGAGAGAGAGAGAGAGCGTGAGAGGCCAGTGAAAGTTTATCAAGTCTAGTGTACGAACCGTGTACAGATGACGAGGCGAATGTGTGAGCACACGATGCTTTAATGCGTGTGCAAACTGCGCTATCAGACCGAGCGCGCGATTCTTTATGCGTCAGCTTTGAATGTCACGTCGTGTGCAAGGAGCAGCAGCCAGCGCCGAGTAATAAAAGATTTTCTTCCTCCCTCGTGTGCACATGCATGTGCAACGAGACAGAAATTTTGCCATCTAGTAGTGCTCTCCGGAGCACTTTTCCTCTTTCAAGAATACGCTTCTGAAGAATTCTTCGATCCCCTCCTCGAGGGCAGATTTTTAATCATATTATCCCGGGGTTTTCTTTTTAGAACGTATACACTGCGAGAGTAACTCGTTCGTCGGGTTGAATAGAAATGTTTGAAAAATAGACGCGGAGAGGAGAGAGGGTTTCGGTACGAGGATGATGGCTTAATCTTCGAGTTCCTACTCAGGGTCGTCCGTTCCCAGTGGACGACGATTACAAGCAAGGTTCCTCCGTCTCTTTTTCACGCGGACAATCCTCTCCCCTCCCTTTCTTTCGTCCGGGGAGTGCCAAGTTCAGGCACACTCTCGCGCACGAGGAATCAACGTGGGCCCGAAAAGGCCCCCGAATATTTATGTCACGGCAAAGTGGACGAGCCGAGACCTTGACTGTGCGCCGCGGGCATACCTCTTCTGTACGTCGATATGTTAGAAATTTTTGCTTCGAATTCGTGAAACGACGCGAAGGTCATTCTTCGAGCACTTCCTAAATCGGACTTTGCCATTTTGCCGTATCGAATACCTATATTCTCGAAATTTCTTCGTTTTTTCCCCTTCTTTTCTTATTTCATACATCACTCTCTGTGTATATAACGAAATTGCGATTCCACGAAAGATACGTCACACGAACAGAACGTGAGCCAATTAAAATGGTATTTTACAAATCTCTTTTTTCTTCCTACTTTTCTAATTAAAAAGACCGTGGAGATATTTCTTGCGAGAATGACTCAGCCCCCGGAAGCGCAAAGTGTTTTCGTCCTCGGCGGGAAACCGCGGAAAACGCGCGAAAGTCGCGTCGAGGACGGTTGCGCGGCATGGTAGCCGGTTAGAAGAAAAGACTTGCACTTTCGTTAGAAAGTCTCGGGAATCGAGACTCCGCCATCCGTGGCAGCCGTCGAGAAGGCCTAACCGGTGAACGTGGATTAACGCTGCCTGTCTGACCAAACACGGAGTCCCACTACTCACTTTACCCTTAGCCCTACATATACGCCTGGCGATTCCGCGTTTACCTTTTTGTCGCACAGTCACAATCACGAGTGAGAGAGAAGAAACAACGCTGTTTGTCGCTGTTACGTGGAAAAAAAATGCACGCACAATTTTTCCTGTCCGATCTAAACTTAATGGTTTATATACGACTTTATAATACCACGGAGTAAAACCAAGGAACACACCTTACCCAACCTTCTAACGTTTAATTACTACAATTTACACGGTAATGATAATACACGCGTCGGATAATCAACGGTTTCGCGTTATATCGGTCTGCACGGTCATTAATAGCTTCTTTAATCTGGCATTCACTTGGCGCATCGTGTTTACACCGATAACAATTGTGTCCTTTTGGATCGTGTTTCCGTTAGATATAAATTCCTCATCGAGACGACGAAAAGGTTAGGTAAATTTATTACGCGTTTGCGTGTTCAGTTTGTCGACGAACGAAAGCTGGTTTCCGCGCTGTGAAAGAGACAGAGTGCGGAGAAGAGTCCTGTACGACGACGAGTTTCGTTTGATTTTCCAAACGGATTTCGATAAAGGTTGAACGAGAGTGCGTTGCGCGTCAGAACGTGTAAATAGTCATTCGAATGCCAACGCGTTCTGAACAA